AGGTTGTACAATCTCTTTCTCATCCTTCACGAAGGTGAACCTCTTTAACATTTCAACCCACCATGCATCTCTACTTTCACGATCCTTAGCGTAATAAGCACCCCAGACAATTTTGATGTCTTCCATGGTCATGTGAGCGCAACAATCTTGTTCACAATAATTTGAAACTTGTCCACTCACACTCGCAAGTGTTTTTTTGGTGAGCTTTCTGTGAACTGATTGCAAAATCTTCTTTGACCGCCGCATTCTGACACGGAAAGTATAAGGACGCTTCTCAGACGACAAACGTTTTGGAAAAATGTCATCAAAATCAGAGACAACATCAGAATTCTCCATATCGTTGCGACACTACAGGTCAGTGTCATCATTATCGCAAGTTTGTGGATGATCAATTTTGTCTGGAGAACTGTCGGCGTCAGATAACATCGAAGCACTTGATTTCGAACCATCTTCATCACTCTCCTCAACAGAAGGCCTGTGCACTTGAAATCTCGTAGCGAACTTCTCGGCACTCACATGATACGATCTACATCGGATGTGTTCCTGTCACCGAAGCAGGCCCTACCCTGGCCTTCCGAACCTTCTGCATCAGAGGTTTTCACTTGTTCGCGCAAGGCTGGAGATGAAATCTCGCATGTGGTTTCTTCACATGCAGCCATCCGGGACCTTTTATGATCAGGAGATTCTGGAGTTATTTGAACGTCTTCCGAAAACATTGGCAGGTCCGGCGGATTAAATTCATCATTAGGTAGTATATTAGATGCCACACAGTCCATGCTTTCCAAAGTTGTGCTCGCAGCTTGCCGTGGTGCATGCCCACCACAAGCCATTTACAACGTTTCTGCGATGACAAAACAGTGGACCACTGGCATAAGACATGTATATCAGTAACAAATTCGCAGCTAGATGGATCACATGCGGTATATGTAGAGTGCAACACATGTGGTATAGCGCGGCCACTGCTAGCCACACATAGCTGATGTAAAAGATCGGCCCTGTGAAGGCGGAAAAAAAGCACAGTCTTCAACAGAAGAGATGCACGAGAGACACGGCAATGGCTGTCGTGTTGAACGCGATGATCTACCTCCTCGGTCGTGTTGAACACGACGAAGCATCATCGCATTGCACAACACGACAGGTGCACACGGCGACAACCACCGTCACCGTGTCATCACGACGGCGCGATCGTGTTCAACATGTCCGAGCTCGACCGGAGTCGTGTTGAACATGTCCTGTCTCTGCACGACAGCCACCGCGGTCGTGTTGAAGACGAAGATGAGCGACCGTCGTCGTGTTGAACATGACGGCGTTCACGACGGCGCTCTTGTGGTGAACATGTCCGCGCTCGACCATCGTCGTGTTGAACACGATCACCAGCACAGCGGCGATCCGCCGCGGTCCAGTTCAACACTGAAAGCGACCGTCATCGTATTGAACACGACCGTGGGGTCGTGGCGAGCCACCGCGGTCGTGTTCGACACGATGACAGCGATCGTCATCGTGTTGAACACGACGGTGGGGTCGTGTCACCGGCACGGCGGCGATCCACCACGGTCGAGTTCAACACTGAAAGCGACCGTCATCGTATTGAACACGACTGTGGGGTCGTGACGAGCCACCACGGTCGTGTTCGACACGATGGCAACGACCGTCATCATGTTGAACACGACGGTGGGGTCGTGTTCAGCACGTGGTGTACGACCGTCATCGTGTCGAACACGACAGTCGTCGTGTCGGACTCGATGATGGACGGCTCTGCGAATTGTCTGAGAAATTTTGTTGACGTCATGAAAAACCACGAACGGGGGGGGGGGGGAGGGGGCGGGGGGGGTTGGGGGGGGGGGGGGGGGGGGGGGGCGGTGAGGATTCTAAACTCACCTAGGTCAAAGGAGGCACGAATCGGAGCAGCAACGCAGCTGCCGTGGCGGAGCAACGCAGCTGTCTGTCGTGTCAACGGGAAGGTGACACTGCACTGGTACATTTTTCCGGGAGCGACGCAAGGGAATAGACCCTTGGATCCTCCTACGGAGACCGTTTAAACAGTCGTGGAAGGCACCGGCAGTCGAATCGTCGCCCCCTTGGCACCGATTCTCACCGCGGCACCGGTCTTCCCCATACCCGATCCTGGCCCTCAGCCGACGGATCGACGGCCCAGACTTTCCCAGGATTCGAAACGTCGCTCCAGCGGCACCTGGTCCCGAACCCACACCCCGCAGGCCGCATTCCCCCGCAGGCCCTCCACAGAAAGTATAAATAGTGGTGTGAGCCCACCGTTTTCCATTTTTGCTAGTTTGTCGAGAACGACGGAGCGTTGCGGAGGTTCGCGCATCGTCCGAAGCCGGCGGAGCGCTGACTTGCACATTGGAGGCTCACGCAGAACGCAACGGAGATCCCACTCGCACATCGGAGGTTCATGCAGCATCGGAGCAAAGTTCCGAGCATCCGCATCGGAGGCAGCAGCGGAGGTCTGGGAGAACGGTAAACCCCCGTGAAGCAACCACGTGCTGCCACGTGGCATTTCCGCCCTCGCAGAGGCTGTCGTCGAGTCGAACTTGACGGTGGACCAGCGCCAAGGCCTATGGCCACTGTCGAGTCGAACTCGACAACGGCTTGCGGTCGAGTCGAACTCGATAACGGCCTGGGGTCATCATCGAGTCGGACTCGACAATGGCCAGAGGCCTTGGCGCTGGCCAACCGTCGAGTTCGACTCGACGACGGCCGTCTGGCCCGACTCGACGACTGCCGGCTGGCCACTGTCGAGTTCGACTCGACGACTACCGGCTGGCCACTGTCGTGTTCAACTCGACGACTGCCGTCTGGCCACTGTCGAGTCGAACTCGACGACAACCATCTGGGCTTTCCCGATTCGTCCGTTGTCGAGTTCGACGACGGTATACCGTCGAGTTCGATTCGACGACGGCCTTCGTGCACTGTCGAGTCGAACTGGACATGATAGTACACCAACCAGTTTCAAAACATCCAGTTCCTATCGAGTCGAACTCGACAATGGCCTGGGGTCATCGTCGAGTCAGACTCGACAATGGCCAGAGGCCTTGGCGCTGGCCGACCATTGAGTTCGACTCGACGACGGCCGTGTGGCCCGACTCGACGACTGTCGGCTGGCCACTGTCGAGTTCAACTCGACAAGTGCCGGCTGGCCACTGTCGAGTCGAACTCGACGACGACCATCTGGGCTTTCCCGATTCGTCCGTCGTCGAGTTCGACAACGGCACACCGTCGAGTTCGATTCGATGACGGCCTCCGTCCACTGTCGAGTCGAACTCGACATGATAATACACCAACCAGTTTCAAAACATCCAGTTCCTATCAAATCTGTCAAAAAGTTGGTAGACGGCCTCCGCCCACTGTCGAGTCGAACTCAACAACGGCCGTCTGGGCTTTCTTGATTCATCCGTCGTCGAGCTCGAGGCCTTGGCAGTGGCCCACCACTGAGTTCGATTCGACAACGGCCGTCAGGCCATACGTCGAGTTCGACTCGACGACGGTCGGCTGGCCTCTGTCGAGTCGAACTCGACAACGGTCGTCTGGCCACTGTCGAGTCGAACTCGACAACGGCCGTCTGGACTTTGTCGATTATCCGTCATCGATTTCGACTCGACAACGGCAAGAGGCCGTGGCGGTGGGTGTTGGGATCGACTCGACAGTAGCCAGAGGCCTTGAAGCTGGGCCGTTGTCGATTCGAACTCGACGAAGGATAGGAGCCGATGGCCTTTGTCGGGACGAGCGCAACGATGGATAGCCGCCGATGGCCTTTGTCGTTTTGTGTGTCTTCTCCTTGTGCATTGGTCATTCGCAATGCCTCATTGGCTCCTTGATGGACAGGCGCCGATGGACTTTGCCTTTCTGACTCCTCGTTGTATCTAGCTACGACGGTAGTTATTGTGTGCACAACATTCGCAACTGCGATGGCTACTTGTTGTGTGAGCGAGTTCGACCTTAGCAATGGCTCCTTATGTGGTTGTGTATCGTTTGTGTGTGTAGGACATTCACGATGGCTCACCGGTTCGATTACTTGTTCCCTTTAAATGCTAGCGCGCCGTACATACGGGGTTTAAGGCAGGCGACTACTATACTTGGGGCCCATAGAGATGACTTCGACACGGACCCTTGGATGAGCGTGTTGCCCTGGCTTGACAGGCCCTTCGATGCATGGTCCGAATTAGACTTGGAGAACACCATGAAAGACTTTCCATGGGCGTCTGATTATCGACTTGCTTCCAGCCAGGAATGGGGGACATTCATCTTCCTCGACCACATCCTCGTGATGAAACACACGCCGGTGTTGTCTGCAGCATTTCGTACCCGAGACTTATCTTTATCATTGACTGCGCACAACGTGTCGTGTTCGCCGCGCTTGTGGGGACCATCGATGAAGGAGGAGTTGTTGGACTGTGTGAAATACAACCAGTTTCTAGAGAAATATCCCCTTCCCTTCGGGGACAACTTGAAGGGGAGGGTTTCGTACTTCTGCGTGCATGTTGAACTCTGTTGTTTCCCTTTCGCTAGGGTTCTCTGTGTTTCGGTAAGAAATAGAAGTAAGACTTCAGCGGAGGCAAGTATTTACGTATCCAAGAACGAGCTCATCGTTGATGGGCACTCGATTATGTTACCGCATGGTTTTAGGAACAGTAAGTTTGACGTGAAACTGGCGGGGCAGGTTGACGCACCCCGGCATTGGGAGGAGGTCGAGGAGTACGTGACGGTCATTCGGGACGCCATCGGTCACACTTTAGCCATAACATGTGGTTTCGTCCGTGCGCGATACATGTCTCGCTTCTCCGCCACTGCGACCCTGTGTAGTTCCCAGCTCCTAACATACGGTTCATCCTTGAACACACTGTACGGTTTCGGGGCTGAACGATAGGCGAGGTCGTAGGAGAGGTCGTGGGAGATGAACAGTGTAAGAAACGTGAACTATTCAACGAAAGTGTGAACTGAGACTATGTAAGCGTGGGGGATGAACAATGTAAGAAATGTGAGCTATTCAGCAAGAGTGTGAACTGAGACTATGTATGTTATGGGAGCAGTGAGTTTGATGTAAGATTATCGATTACTTTGAAATACGTTAATACTATTTGTCGCACGTTGTGGGTGCCGGTTGCATGCCTTGCCAATTGAATGTTTGGAATTGATAATAGATGTAGGCTTTCAATTGATGTGCCTTGTTTGATGTGACTTATTGGATACGCCGCTCTCGTGTTCTGTTCGCCTGCTATTTGACACACCGATCCCATTCTCTGTCACGATGGCCAGCAACGATCGAGTCCAACACAATCAAGCTGGCCTCGAGGTTCGCGCTGGCCCGCCACGTTCGAGTCGAACACGAACGGGTCGCGATCTTCTGGGTCACGCTGGCCCACCAAGATGAAGTTGAACACGATCGAGCTGGCTGTTACGCTCGAGTCGAACACGATGAGTCGAGCCCGATCGCGTCAAACACGATCGAGTTGAACACGAACACGATCGCGTCGAACATGGTTGAGTTCGGGCGCTGGCCCACCACGATCGAGTCGAACACGATCGAGCTGGCCCGTCACGCTCGAGTCGAACACAATCGAGTCGAACACGATCGAGTCAAACACGATGGAGTCGAACACGATCGTGTCGAACAAGATCGAGTCGAACAAGATCGTGCCGAGCACGAGCACGATCGTGATCGAATTGAACACGATCCCGGTCGATTCGAACTCCATCTCCGGGGCTGCCTTTCCACGAAGGTGTTGCGCTGCCTTACCACTATCTAAAACGTTTCACTTTTCTGCTCCTTCTGATTTTTGGCTTTCCGATGATGTGATGTGTTGCTTTCAGATTCGACAACGCTGCAAAACATGGAACGAGGGGGGAAGGCAAGTAAACGACAAGCAAGTAGGACTTCAGGGAGCATGGAACAATCTCCGACAAAATCGAAGGGGACGCCGACCGCTGCGGGGGGGAGTCAGGAGGCACCGGGGTCTAAGAGGCAATGCACCCCAGTTCCACGTCACGAGTCCACGAGCACTCCGGTTCCGAGGGGTGCACCTTCCACAGGCACTCCGTTGACTAGTGTTCGGGGCTCTGGACCGAATAACATTATGTTGATGACTGGCGGGCCTGTGGGTCAGGAACGTGTGCCTGGTCCGCCACAGGGAAGATCTGCAGTGGACGTTGTGCCCGGACGTAAGCCGTCTGGTGAAGGTAAACCGTATGGTGAAACGACTACCGCGGGTCGGCGAGACGATGTGCCCGTAACATCTGCAGTGGACGTTGTGCCCGGAAGTAAACCGTCTGGTGAATGTAAACCGTCTGCTGAAACGACTGCCGCGGGTCGGCGAGACGATGTGCCCGTGGTTGATCACAAGGATAAGTTCTGGATGTTGGACTGGGTGGGGGAGATCAGAGAACCATCGAGTGGCCTTGTTCTATACGTGGTCATGAAAGAAAATATTGTGCCGGTTGGCGGCCTGGTGAGGTGGACTAGACAAGGTGCACCGTCTGCAATGTTCGAGTTGACGATGGTCCTGCATGGACGAGGGGAAAAAATGCCAAATGTTAAACATGTCGCTCTTCGATGGGCCAAACACGTGGGATTTGGAAAGTCGATGGTTGATGTATTCAACCCGCCAGGGAGAGCGGAAGTGAAGTTGCCTGACCTCGTCGACGTCCTCGGGTTCTTCGACAGTAATGTGATCGCGGGCGGAGAGCCGGTTGTGCATCCAGAAGACCGCATATCGGAGCCTAAATGCGTGCTTTCGAAAACCGTGGAGACTGGGCCTTCGATCACGATCCGCGACACACCGCCGGCTCCGAAAGATGAGCAGATTGGAGAGAAGGGTCCGTGTCGCGGACTGGTCGTGCCGTCAGCCCCTATGAAGTCCAGGCCAACGGCGACCAAAGCACCAGTTGCCTTGGGCAGCCATCCGCGCTATGTAGCGGCCACCAAGGGACCTCTCCCCTTGGTGGGCCAGCAGCGCTACGACTACACTGTGCCAAGCCGCGCAGAGAAAGCCCATGAATATTTTGGAGATGATGATGAAGAGAACAGCGAGGAATATTCGGAACGAGCAGGAGGACATGAACAGTATGCGGTGGGTGTTGGTGACATGACAAGGCGCTATGGGGAAACAAGTAAAGTGGTTGGACAGGATGAAGACAGTGAGCACGCTATGAGCGAATCGGGTGGAGAGGTTGGTCTGGCAGGGGGATATGGGAGCAGCGACGAAGGATGTGAGGGGGATGTGCATCCAACACGAGGGGGGGTGCACCACGAGACAGTGGTTGTGGCTACGCATACAAATGCTGCAGGGATCGTTGAGCGAAAGAGGAAGCACAGGCAGGAGAGGAGAAGTGCTTTGGATAGTAAACGGAGTAAGCAAGAAGCGGGTCAAAAAAGACAATTGAAACTATTGTCCGTGGATGAGGCGGTCCAGCGCACACGGGAGACTGAGGCGGCCACGAAGAAAAAACAGCAGCCAAAGAAAAGAACGGCAAAGGGTGGTGTCATGGAAAAGACTTCCGTTTTTCCAGCGGAACAACCACAATCGGATGAAGAGGCCAAAGGTAAGACAGTTACTAGGCCGCCAAGTTTGCGAAATGTGGCATCGGTGACTTCTTCTGGTATTCTCAGCAAAGGCTTCTTCCTTGAGTTGGACGAGCATGGGAACCAGTGTCCAGACATGGAATTCATTTATGTCAAGTTCGACAGAATTCTGGATATCCCCGACGGGGAATTCAGATACAATCAACGCTATTTTGTGCAGCAGACGATTGATGGCATTTATGACGCAATGGTTGCATTAGGTGAGGCTGCTATCAGAGAGAGAATGACTAAAGCTGTCCTTTTGTTGGTTCCCCTCCGTGATACATTGCATACAAACGCTTCAGGAAGGATTGTGAGAGCAAGGAGGGTGCTGCGCGATGAATTCGAACTCGGCTCTGTGAACAAGTACTACTACTACCCTCTCAGCGGTCAACATAACGTGACGGCGGCAAGAAGGTGTTTTGTTGAACGCCCTGACATCGCACAAGAGCTCCGATTGGATCGCTGGACTGCGAGGCCTGTTTATTATCCGGATAAGAGCATGGACAATTACGGCACGCTGAGCACTTTCCAGAACGCAAAGGACAAATGGAATACCCCACCGCACCAGATCGTGGTCATCCAGAACATACTGAAGTTGCGGCACACATCGAACTGTCATGAAGCTAAAGGCGGCTCAGCGGCAGAAGTGAAAAATGCAGATTATAGAAATTTTGCAGGAAAGACTCTTCGTTTGACCGGATTCGTAATTTGGTTGACATGTCCCTTACTACTCAATGGAGCGGCCAGTGGTTGACGCCCTCGGGCCCTACATGTTATTGGCAAGGGCGACAGATGACGTTTTCGAAAAGGTGAAACAAGTGTACGCCGCTTGGGAAGCTGGACAATTGTCGGGGAGAGATGTTGTGAAGCCTGCTACCAAACAAGGTGAATCAGGGAAGGCACCAAGGGGTGGACCCGAATTTGAGTTGAAAGGTGGAGTTAGGTTTCCGGTTCACTGGGTTCAAGATACCAAAGGACCGGGTTACCGCGTGGATGTGCACGATCCGGATATCAGAGCGTGAAAGCCTTTTTCAGCGCTTGGGAGGCGTGAGCGGCTTCAACTGTTGCGAGACATTATCACAGGCAATGTAACACTGACTCCTAAGTAAAGTGGAGCTGCTCAACGTGCCGGGAAACATTCAACGGAGACATACGAGGAAATGGTGAAGATTGAACGAGCAATGTTGAGGATGTTTCACTACTTCGTCTTCATTTCTGATCCTCACAGGAAGTCGTCAGAGTGGATAAAACCATTCTTCTACAATCTTTCCGATGTGTTTGATAAGTACTGTCATCAAGGATTGACATCCGAGAGGTGGATCGACCAACGTCGCCATTTCAAAGACATGAATTTGGTGCGAACGTTCCCGGCTACACTTGGAGGAGCGAGAGGAAAAATGAGAAGAGGGCTCCAAGAAAACAACATCACTTGCTGCGAAGTGCCCCGAAGAGTTCGTGCAGTTTGTCAACAAACTGCTGCGCAGATCAGAAACCAGGGGTTCGCAAAGCATAAGAATGTTGGGCACAGCGAAATATATACATTTTCAAAAACAGAACGTGAACTCTGTTTTCGTCTCGTTCCAATGGGAACCAAGCGATATTTCAGACGAGATGGATTCCAAAGAAATATATAGAGTCGTCAAACATCTGAGTTGCCACACGGCCGTGCTGGATTTGTGTCACCCAACCCCGATAGAGGTGTGGACTGAAGAAGTCTTTGATGGTCTACGAATATTCATGGAAAAACTGGTTGGTGATTATTGGACACTATTGTGCTTCGTTCCGCGGTCTTGCGAGTTTACATTTTTCAAGCGAGTTACAAGTTGGGACATTCACATTCACTTGTCTATTCTAAAGTGGACTCGTCGGCAACAAACGAAGGCGAAGCATTCATATAAGGTTGCGAACTTGACTTTGGAGGACATAGACAAAATGGTTGTCATCATGTACTCCAACGATGGGGATTATCACCGCAACACTATTCCCTTGCTTGAAGACATTCCAGCAAGCACTCCAGCTGCAGATCGATCATCAGGCGAGCAGGCGGGTGACTTATCAGCACTTGTGCGCAGAGAGAGAAGGCCAAAGATGTTGCCTGATGTCGTGGAGAAGAACTTCACGCCCACGAAGTTGAAAATGGCAGGTATGGAGCCAAAGGAGAAATTTGTGTACAAAGGTATGGAAAGGGAGCCAAATGCGATGGTGGAGACATTGGAGCATTTTTGTCCTGCGGATGAGGTGGTTGTTTTCCTGGGAAAAGGTCATGCGGCGTTGATTTGGGAGTTGTTAAAGAGTCATCGTCATTGCATTGTTTTGGAAAGGAAGGGTATGAAGTTCGAGTTTCTCGTTCAATTCGTCAACAGGATGGTCAAGAGTGGAGGTTACTTCACCAAATTGGTTAAGCTGCCTCCTCGACATGATGAAAAGCGTAATCTCGTCTACAAAGTCGGCCAAAACATCGTCAACATTTGGGAGTTCCTTTTCGAGATTAAGCCACAAAACAGAGGGGAACGTGCATATGTCGCCAGAAGGCGAAAAATGAAATCACTTCTGAGGGGGTATCATAAGGCACCGGCGGAGACGGAAGTTGCATTTCTAGACCGTTTGGAGATGATGTACTTCGACGAACACATCGGGGCGTTTACAATCGTTGCTTATGCAACTTGTTTTGGGGAAGGCTTTGATGCTGAGGACTCAGAAGAAGAAAGTGAAGATGGTACTTTGCAAGCGGCTTTGGCAGATGAGAGGCAAAAAACTTGTAGCTCGGCTTCGCAGGAGATGGGTGCGCCGGGCACATCGTCCGGTTCTGGGGGGGCTTCAAGTATGGCAGTTTCAACGGACCAGTTACCGAATCGTCCCTCAACTTCTTCGCTTATGCAAGTAACACCTTCTTACATGGCGGGCAACACAACAGCGCTACCTTCCGGCGCAGTTCGGTATGATCCGAGGGTGCAGGCAATGCTCTCCCAAGAGGTTATGGCAAGTCTGTCAGCACTTGCACATAGCCCGACTACTGTTTTGGAATTGCTATGCTCTCAAACTCCTCAACAACCTCCGTCTGAGCCTTTGGAGTACGAGATTGAGGACATGATCCCTCCGGACATTGCACGGCTTCCTGGACCTATTGTGTGCCAAGACAATTATACGGTGATGCTTGACAACGTATGGGGTCATCACATTATATGACACCCCCACCACTTCCAACCTGCATTGGCGAGAGGGAACTGGGTAATGGCTATTAAAGAAGAAGGGGAGTGGCAATTTTGCCTTCACAAATGTATGTCACAATCCACGTTTGTCACACACGCCAAAAATCAGATTGGCAAGCGACTACTGCGACTTAATCCGAAGGTTTCTCAATCCAGATTGGATGCAAGGACAGAAGAAATTTTTCAGGAGTTCAAAACATCTCGATAGCTTGAGTATCTGGAAGAGTTCTATGATCGAGAAACAAGTCAAGCTTTTGGATATAATTGGCGTATTGAAGAGGAACTTCAAGACAAAGCTGGGGAAAGGAAAGGAGCGAGCGGCGATGAGAGTGGCAAGGGATCAAGATCAGGCAGCGGTGCGCTTGGCAAGGGAACAAGATCAAGCGGTGGTGAACATGGAAAGGGATCGGAACCACGGTGCGGTGCCAGTGGCAAGGGTCTGGGACCGAGCGTCGGTGCAAGTGGAAAGTCGATAACTTAAAGTCATGGTGAACTGCAAAAACACGAAATGTGTCAAGGGCGTCAAGCAACAGAGGGAAAGGTATTAGGACCAAGTGGCGGTGCACATGACAAGGGATCGGGATTGCCTCTGGGATCAGGACCAAGCAGCGGTGCACATTGCAGGGGATCGGGTTCGCCTCTGGGATTAGGACCAAGCGGCGGTGCACATGGCAGGCGATCGAGAGGCGATGCAAGTGGCCAGGATTTAGGAGCAAGCGGCGGTGCAAGCGGCGGTGCAAGCGGTGGTGCAAGCGTCAAGGGCGTAAGTCATGGTGAACTGCCGAAATGTATCAAGGAGGTCCTTCCGGATGACCAAGTTTGGGCGACCACTGTGTTGGCGAGCGAGAGTGTTACTGCGCAAGTGGATAATACAAGCGCACTTGCAGAATTAGAGATGCCATCGTTAGATATGCCAGCCAAGAAAGATGAGCATGAAGTCTCTCTGGACATGAAGAATGAAAGCGCGACTGCAGGTGCAAAGGAAACTGTTAGGCCATCGAAGAGGATGAAGGACATATAGTACTAAGTACAAGGGAGCAACATACGCTTGTACAGCCTGAACTTATGATTGCAAAATTAGAAGCACAACAGTCTGCTAACCTCGTGATATCTATCAACGAATCTCCTTTTACACCATCGCATGGTGCGATAGAAGGTCGTGTTGAAGACAAAGCGTTAGTGAGCCACCGAGGTGAGCACGTACTTATCTCTAAGGGAATATTACATGCACTCATCTCATAGAAAGTAATTTTTTGACTAGGTTTGCAAACGTACGCTCGGTGATGAGAAGAAATGAAGTAAAATATTGTGTATCTCTTATTTGCAATTATGTGAAAAATTGAACTTAAACTCATAATGTTTTGTCTTGTCAATCATTGTCGTTTTCTATTGATGAACATGTAGGGCGACAAAAAGAACTGTGGAAAACGACACACGTACGTTCACAAAGGCAGAGTGAGAAGAATATTATTCATCATGGCTTGCAAGCCTTATCAACTTTGTCGTTATTGCCCAAAAAAGAGAGAAGAAGACTTACACCCATGACATTTCCATCTATGAAGCCACCTGCCCTAAGGATGTTTAAAGTTGTTGGAATAAGCCTCAGAGAAGGGAAGAAATTGCATCGCGAAGGTTGCAATTTATCTATTGTGGATGGCAGCTCTGATAGCGAAATAGATAGACAACCAAAAACATGAACTCGGGTCTACGTTGTACATCACATAACAAAAAGTTCGTTTTTGTATGAAGTCTTAGTCGTTCCATTGTTGTTTATATGTGTGTTTGTATGCAGTTCATGACCCTTCGTTCCAGATTCCTTTAGCAACAAAACGCCTCACCGTAGAAGAAAAGGAGTATCTTGACATGATTACAGGCAACAGCGAAGACAATGAAGCATACGATATTGTCGATTACAAGGGGAGCTGGAAGGTGGGAAAGGAAGACATCATGGTCGTCGTCGAGGATGGGAAATGGTTAAATGACGAAGTCGTCAATTTGTAGATGTTAGCTGTCCAAATCACCAATGACCACATCAAGGTTGATTCGGCATGTACGGAAGTGACAAGAGATCATGAAAACTCTTAAAGTGTTCCTTTTGTGTACATTATCAATTCTTTTTTCTTCACTCGATTGTCAGGTCCTTCGAGGTTTGAAACTGCATATTCCGAAGGGATGAAATGAGTGAAGGACACAAATCTTTTTTATTATGACTTAGTGATTATCCCTCTACATTTTGGAAATCACTGGGCCTTAGCTTATGTCAGCATAGACGGTCCAAACTGTAAATTCCACCTCATAGACTCTCTCCCTCGTGTTGACTATGTTTCAGTCCTCGAACGTTTGGAAGATTTTTTCGAAGTGGAGTTTCATCGACACAATCTTCACGAAAGATATCATGTGGACGGGCCTACATCCTCCTTTTATACATCAGAAGATGGGATTCCTCCTCAAGAGGATTCTTGTAGTTGTGGTGTTTTTATGTTAGGTTTTGCATCTTTGCTTGCAAGAGGTCACTTCCCTCCATTTGCTTTCTCACAAGCCAATATTTCTGATATGAGGCTAATAGCATTTGATATTTTGTCCATGGTTAGATAGGAAAGTCAATGAGGTGCGACTAAAGCTACAGTCCGTAGTTAATATTTTGTTCATGAGATTGACATGTTTACTGAGTGTAAATATTCGAGGAAAAAACTTGACATTGTATTTTATTTTGAGCACAAGCAACACGGGAGCATGATTGTTTTGAACTTGTATAATCAATGACTGTCACATTAAATTTTTCCTTCAACTTTTCATATATGAGCATTGTTTTGTCGTTCCTTCAACTTTGCATTGCTAAGCATTGATATATGAACATTGTTTCGTCCTTATTTTGCTTTGTCGTTATTTCGTCTATAATTTCCTCATTTCGTTCTGCCATTTTACAGTTTTAAAAAAAAGTGAACATGAAAATAATTTCACTTATAACGAAAACACTGTTTCTATCTATTGATACAACGAGATGTTCTCTTTCTTTCTCTCTCTCTCTCTCTCTCTCCCTCTCTCTCTCTCTCTCTCTCTCTCTCTCTCACACACACACACACACACACACACGCACACGCACACACACACGTGCTTACCTACAAACAACTCTTTAAAGAGAGAAAAAGAGAAGTACCAATACGGAATAGAGAACTATGACTGTGAAATCGACTATGAATGAGAGAAGTGAACAAGGAAGGACACACATGCGAAACACCTCATCTTCTGAAACAATAGACATTCCCTTCATTATGGTACGGACAACTTTCGTCGGGAATAAACGGATGAGTGAATGCCAAGTGCATTTCGACAGAAAGTGCATACATCCATCCCCGTTCTACATCGAGATGCACAACAATACGCACAAGACAGCCCATGCCTCTCGAAACTCGCAGTTTGTTGTAGACAATAGGAAAGGCCACTATCAGAGGCGCACCGAAATGCCCTAAGAGTCGTATTGCCCTAGTCGGAAGTCACCGCGGAGGGTGATTGCTTCTCCAAAAGCTCCTGTACGAGGAACGAACCAGCCATTGGGTTCTGATGTACCTGCTCGCCTCCTGCCATCCAGCTTCAGGCAGAGGCAGCCACCAGGTGTCCTCTACAAACTAAATTTTCCCAGAAGGGAAACAAATCTTTAAGTTCTTGTCGTCATGCCGAGGACAACAAGTCTCCTTCAAGTGGTTGTTCTGAAGCCGAAAACCAGCGCTCTCCCTAGCGAACATCGGCATAATGCCTCCCGTCGTGGAAGAAAATATGATGCTTGAACTCACGATTGAGCGCGTGATAGTTCCATATGAAGCTCGGTGCATACACAGTGATCTTCGCTTTAAACGGTTCGAGAGTGTTCTCCAATGAAAAGCTCCACTTGCCCATACCACACCACTTCCCCTCGCCACAAACCAAGGACAAGTTTTTGCAACCTGTGCTCGAGCTCACCATGAAGCTCGACGACTGTGTGACGCACCTTCCCCATGCTGAGCGCCCCGGGGCATGGTGAGCGAACTCCACGAACGTATGAGAAAACCCTAAAGTTGAACAACTTTTGCCTCAGCGTGACAGCGTCACATCGAATTTTTTTAACCAAACTTATTAAATTTGGTAAAAGATTATTTCAGGGCCAAAAATTCTATTTTTTTCGTTGAATTGTTTTTAGTGAGTTTTCTATGACATGAGCTACGTGCATATAAATTTTCAAGGCATTTTGTTAAGCCAAACAAAAATGAAAAATCGCCAAAGATAGCGGTGTCAAAATGTGCTCGGCCGCTCAGTTTGTGCAAGGAACCCGACTGTTCACCAGTTGATGGAGTGTTTCACATTGCATGCATGAATACAGATCACACAGATTGTGTAGCCTCACACAAAGCTCAAAGGAAAATGAGTGGTCGCCAGATAGCGCAATTCAATTATCACAACCAAATTTAATAGAGAGAATCAAAAGTTAAAAAATGTATAGCACCCAACAAAATTACAAGTCTTCTTCATCAAACGTGAATTCCTGGCCTGACGCACATCAGCGCCAGCAGCCAATCATCATCAATGGCGCTCAACAGGTAAGTAACACCATAGCTTTCTTCTCTCTCTTCTCTCCTTGTCTTTCTTCTCTTTGTCTCTCTCTAAAGTCCTGGTCTACTCACACTCATCTCGCATGCACACTCTCTATCAAACGAGGATCCTAGTCTACTCACACTCATTTCGCATGCACACTCCCTATCACACGAGGATCCACTCTGCATACTACTCACTGGTACTCCTACCACTAATCCATCTGCTGCTACTAAATTTTGCTAGTGCAGCTATGGACATGTTATTCGTTAAAATATGACATTATATTTTAAATTGGTACTCGCACACTATTAATTTCATGTCTAAATCGCTATATTTTTGGACCTGAATGGAACTTAGGAACCGGAAGAATGCAATTGAGAGGTCATAAATTGAATCTAAACTAGAGATTTAAGGCAATCACTTACTGATCATGATGAATTAAGTGTGGATTCCATTGCACTTCCATCAATT